TAAGGAGAAGGAAAAGAGGACCATGGTAAAGATAGATAACAGAGGAGACTTTGTCTCCTCATAAGTCACTTTGTCTCATCATTGGTGCTTCCCACACACAGTCAGAATGGGAAACTAATGGCTTCACAAGACTATGGGGGGCTATTGCAGTTAGAATGAGTAGCAAAGACATCCCTACCCATTGAATGCTCAGTCTTCATATGATGGCAAGACAGGCAAGTTTAAAATAAGAGAAAAAAAAAAACAAAAAAACCAAGGGACCCTCGGAGTTTCTATTTGTACAAATCTATGGAGCTGCAGTGGTCAGCAGGGACCACTGTCCACTCTTCAGACTTTCTGTTGCAGTCTTCAGGCACACGCAGACATTGACCAAGCGTGAATGGAAGTTGTGCTCTTTGTTACAGAGCTGTTGCATGACTGAGATGCAAAGCACAGGGAGCAAAAGAGTTCCTAGCTCACCTCTCCCTTTCTTCATATCAGTGTCAGAAGTGGACATTTAATAAAAATTATCCAGTACACCACCATCACATAAAGGGGAGATAGAAAGAGAGGAAGGAGAAAGGAGCCTAAAGTGAATATCAAAGCCTCACATAAACAAGGCATAGTGCCGGAAAACAGCAGCCCATTTTTCTTCCCTTCAGTATGCGGTGAATGTGCAGCGCCTGCGAGGGTGCACGGCTTGTGCTTCCTATTAACAAGGCTCACGTTAATAAATTTAACTCAGACAAATTTAACCATCCTAGGGCCACATTAATCAAAAGCCTGACAAGACCAATCCAAAAGACTTAGCCAAGGAAAATAAAGCACAGCTGACAGAGGATGCCATGCCCTCATTGTCCCAAGGCTGTTCCCACACTATCAGCACCTCCAGTACCACAATAACTCCTTCCCACTGCACTCCTAACTGGGCTGATCACACTGTCCTCCAACACTCCTCACCCACCCAATGCCTCTTCATCAGTGATGTTTCCTATTCCTTACGTGTCCCTACCAGAGAGAGATGAGTATTTAAGTACAATCACGTGCAACAGCTACAAAGTCCTAGTGAGCTTTGTGTTTTACCTGTGCCACTGGTGTTACTGAAAAGAATCTCTCAAGGTACAGATTAACAGATGTACAAAGGAGAAATAACAAATTTGATAGGAAAACAAAATTACTATAGTTTATGAAAACTAAGAATTGGGCAGAACCAGAAGGAAAAAACGAGGGCTATCAATTTTTATTCATTACCCATGTGCCAAGTTCCTCGGTGCTGAAGCTCCACATCACTTCTCAAGCTGAAATATGTATGCATGGAGACTGTACAAAGAAATGGGACTTATTACTGAGAAAACCTCCACCCTTTGCTCCCTTCATATTTAGCTCTAAGTTGTTGCTTTTGAGTTGTGTTTTTAGTGTTGAAAAAAAGTGACAAATAGGTCCTTCCATCAGCCAAACCACTTCACAGAGAGAAGGGCATGTCATAAAAGACGAGGAAACTGAGAAGTAACTGCTGATCAAAGCCACACAAAACAGCACAAATTAGGCTAAGTGCGTCCCCAAAAGCCAGAATTATGCAAGCTGCTTAAACAAATAAGCCCATACGTGATTTTTCAGATTTGCCTAGAGGCATCCCCACAGCATAAAACATGGTGTGCTGTCTTGCTGTTCTTCCACTTGATAAAACAACAAATATTTTTATCACCTAAGCGTATTGGTGTTTACTTTTACAGTCTTGGAATCTTGAAAGAAACTGTGTTGCCTTGCCTTGACACTGTCTTTCCCCCAAACAATTTCTATTTCAGTTCAGACAACTGGGTTTCCTACATGTTGTGTTTTGATTCAATTCAGTCGGTTCATGGATGGATCTAGGAAGTCCTGAATCTTACTGCATTGCAAAGCCTCGGAGGAAGAGTTCTTTAGTGGCCCATGATTTTAAGGCATTTCAGTCAGAACTACAAGCTCCCACTGAATTTACAGGGGATTTATCTTTCGAAAATAAAGAGGACTTCAGCTATATAATTGGGATTTGAACCCGGATGCTGAATATTACAACAGCCTGAAGCATTTGAAACAAGTATTTGTCCAAATTGTTCATAGATCCTCGATGAATTTTTCAGAAAATCTGTGCTGAATAAGTAAGCCAAGCCTTGTCTTCACAGACAGGTTAATGACCTTTGAAAACCTGCCAGACTCTCTTTTAACACTGCAAGATGCATTCTGATACAAGCTGAGAATAGAGTGTTCCAGAAAATGACAATGCCTCCTAACATTTTCACATTTATATCACAGAATCATCTAGGTTGGAAAGGACCTTGGAGATCATCTAGTCCAACCGTTTGCCTAGCACAGTTCCCACCCACAGCATATCCTTAAGCTCTAAATCGACTCTACTCTTGAACCCCTCCAGGGATGGGGACTCCACCACCTCCCTGGGCAGCACATTCCAATGCCTCACAACCCCTTCTGGAAAGAAATGCTTCCTAATATCTAGTCTGAACTTTCCCTGGCGCAACTTGAGGCCACTCCCTCTTGTCCTGTCGGTTTCTACTAGGCTAAAGAGGCTCAAACCCAGCTCTCTGCACCCTCCTTTCAGGTAGCTGTAGAGGGTGATGAGATCTCAGCCTCCTCTTCTCCAGACTAAACAATTCCAGTTCACGATACTCCCTAAAAGCATGTGACTCTTGGGGTGTTACTGCACTGGTCAGTCCTGTGTTGTCGTTTCCTCGTGGTCCTCATTTCAGCATCTGTGTGACTCTGAGTTGTCTTGCATACAGGCTGCAAGTCCTGAACACACAGAGGCCATCTGTTCTCCCATGCTGTACCACACCTGGCACAGTAAAGTTTCAGTTCAGGGCTAGCCCCAAGGACTGTAGATAAGCATAAAGTCTAACATATTATTAGCATATGCAGTTACGTTTCCCTCTTGTCTCTGGTGCCAAAGGTGAAAACATTCTTAACTATTCCTGCTTTAGTTCCATTGCTACAGGTCTGTGATTTTCTTCCAGATTTTTTAATCCTGATGTATCTGCTTGACTGCAGCCCTGGGCATGTTGTGGGGTTGGTCAGAAAGCAAGAACTCTGTTTTACAGAAATGCTGGTGATGTTAAAATTGTTCTTTTGCTTTCCTATGACAAAACATGCCTTTCAGAAAGTCCTTTCAAAGCCAAAGACGCTTAAATTCAGTGTTTAGCCACATGCACTCATCATGTGACTGACTGACTCCAAGTCCTTTGATACATCCAAACATTAGTTTATCTTTGGCTTTGTACCTTCATTGGAAATTACTCACTTGAGTAGAAAAATTTGTTCACTGCACATCTCTTCTGGATGGCTCCAATCTTCAAACAAAATATTCCCACTTTCTTTCTTTCAGTTGCCCTATTAAGACCACGAGGTTTAAAAATTGCTGTCAACAGCTAACATCTAACCAGTTGATCATCTGCAGCGTGCCAGAGGCTTCTTTATATAACAACTTCCCTCACCACAACTCCCACCCGCTGGTTTTCTGTTCTAGGTCATCATTATCATGGAACAAAAGTACTTAAGGCCAGGAATTATCTCTTCATGTCAAGCATGGTGGACAGAACCCACCACAGCCAAACGCCCTAATCATGTGTTGTATGTGCTACTGTAGTGTAAATAATACTAGTAATAGCAACACCAATAATCCATTTTTCTCGCAGACACTGCCTCCAGTTTCCACCATTAAAGCTGTGCATGTGCACGCACCTTATGAATAGCCTGTACTTGGCAATTTTGCTTTAAGATTTCAACCTACAAAAGCATGTTCTAGGTTGTCCAAATGTCTAAATTTGCTAATTCAGGGTAAATGCTCAATTTATAATAAAATTATTATAATTAAAAATTATGAGCTCAGGATGATTACACTGTACTGTCAGCATAACTGCAGTCACCGTGCTCTAAACCTGAATTGGGAAAGATAGCAGTAATTTTCACCAACTCTGATATTTGAGCTTCCTTTTAGTTATGCATGTAGCATGGACATTGTGAAGAGCCCTACTCACGTATCACCTGAAAGATTTCTGCAGTGAGAAACGTGGTTCATGTCACAGAATCCCTATGGATACTTCTAGACTAATATCTCTGTGAGATAATGATATATATTTGCTTAACATCCGAAAAGATCTTGAGACAATTTAAACTTGCGCACGCCCTCAAAGTTCTCAACCTGTGTTATAGATGTGTGAAGAGCAGAGATAAAAATATCAGTTTATGCCTTGTTACTGGCTCAAGAAAAAAAGTCAACCTACATATAAGTAGTTAGTCATTTGGGCTCTCAAATCAAAGTTAACCCAACATGATGCTAACCAGAATCTTCTTATCACTTGCTGTTGATGACAGAAACTTGCAAATCTTAATCTTAATCAAGGCCACTGAAGATCTAAATATTTGACTTTAACAATGAAAAATAATGACCTCTAGATATAATACGGCAGTTGTAATATTTACCATTAGATAGTACACCATCCATTAGGACTCAGACAGAATGCAAGAAACTATATTGTGTCTAGGTTGATCTACCAGGCATGTTGGGGGAGCTGGAATTTCACCAAAACAATTCAATTGCCGTCCACAGCTGGGAAACACTGGTCTTGTACTTTTTTAGTTTTCCCAAAGTTTGAGACCTCAAAAGACAAATAATTTCAATATGGAACATCAACACAGGGAAAAAAAAAAAAATAAAAAAATTCTTGTTGAACTGGTTATTTGAACAGAGTTTCTTGCTGTTGGAGATATTTGATATTGAACTTTATAATTGTTTTAGATCATTAAAGAAAAATTTGAAGCAAAAAATGGTGTCAGTTTTCCTTCCTCCTCCATTTAAATCTGTAATTTTAGAAAAGCATTGCAATTGGCTCTTCCCCACATTTAGAATTATTTTTCCAAAATGAGAAAGTCAAGAAAATCAACATATTCACAAAACAGGTTGTCATTGCCACTGCTGACACGACTACAATTTGCCAGCATCTTTTTTAATGCTTCATTTGGCTACTTACAGAATTGCTCCAAGTCATCTCCTTTTTTAGATTCTGGCATAGCAGTGATTGTGAGCAATGGGCATAGATTTCCTCCTAGCGTCTGGCAGAGTGTCTGCTGCCTCCAGTAAACCTTCTTGGGGTTCCTATTTTGTTCCAAGATATCAAGATGAGACTGAGAAAGAAGCAAGGAAACAGATTTATAAATGAGTTCATGGTCTGTAAAATCTGATTTTATTCCACTAGCTGTGTGTTATTATCGGTACTAATTTCACCTCTTGCTAACTTCTCAGCTTCTCTCTTCTGCCAGTTAATATCACCATCTTTTTTATCCCACAAATATGCACAAGCCATTCAGAATACAGCCTAGTTCACTGAAGCTGCACAGGACTATTTACCCGTATGTCATGGTCTAGTTGAAGACGTCCCTGCTCATGGTAGGGAAGGTTGGATTAGATGAGCTTTAAAAGTTCCATCCAACCCAAACTATCTGGACAGTTCCTAGGTGCATTTCTTATTAGCATAAAGAAATTTCTATGCATACATGAAGTCCAAAGAAGAACTGCCTACTCCTTATATTTTAATAGGAACTGTGCAGAAACATGAGAAAACTCACCGGTTTTGAGCCTTTATGGAACTGACTGGTTAGCTGTCAAGCACATGCCAGTGAAACTCAGAAACAACTCCACACCCAAGGCAGCCAAAAAGTTTACATCGAAACCATATTTTGCACAATCCGTGGTGGAAAATTTGAAGAGCATCTTTCCAAGAAGTTATTTAAAAAGGAAATTTTTGGCCCCCACCCCCTGCAAAGTTTATGGCAGTTTCAAATTCTTAAATCCAACAGTTTCTGGAGAAATTTGAGAGAAAGAATTGACAGCTTTAAAAGTGACTTTTTGGAACAAATTCTGATCGCCTCATTAGACACATAGCCGCTTGTCACCCACACACCAGATGACGTGCAGTTCTCTCTGTTTACATTGGAATTGCAAGTGGCAAGATTAGTGTAAGTAATCCCATCGCAGGGTCTTGCTAAGTGGTGTGGAACACCGGTTGTCTCTCGAATAGTAGAAATAGGTATGGTATGGTATAGTCTGCGTACTCGTCCTAACAGTACTTTAACTAAAACACAGGAATTCACTGAACAACACTTCCATGGTAACCTTTTGCCTTTACAAGTGAGGGCTAAATTTTAACCAACATTTATGGAACAAGACAGTCTTGTTCCTCAAACCTGGGAGCTCACTGTCTTTCAGACTGCTTTCTCAGCATCCATTTAAATGCAAACACAGAACTGAAATTTACAGTCATCTGTGTCATAAAACAATTAACATACTGCTCTATAAAGTAAATTCAATTATTAGATGCATCTAATGATCTTGCATAGATACAGAGAACTCAATATAATCATTTACTTATGTTCCTGCTACCCAGTGAAACTTAATTGGGTATAGCTGCCACAAAGATTTCAACTAGATATCCAAATAATTAACACTGTGATGTAAAAATAGATAAATTACTGTTCACAAAATAAATGTAATTACTAATGGACAAAAAGTAATGAACTGCAGAGTGCATCCAGTTCAAATAGGATTCTGCTATGAGTATTTCCTGTAAATAAGCCTCTAACTATAAAATATATATGATATTTTAAAACATTTTCAAATTAATAACTTCATATACAAGTTTATCTTCTTCCCCAAAGCACTGTGTATTTAATTGAGCCCTTGGGTTCGTAATCACTTTTAATTTATTACTGATATGTAAAACCAACATACTTCACCAGTGGACAAATGCTTTAAAATCAAATCTACTGGTGCACAAACCTGATTTGGTTTATTTACTGTGGAAATTAAAGTAACATGGAAATGTGTAAATTGCATCACTTGACATTTTAAATTAGTCCAAGCAAAGAAGCCTTTTAGAATTATTAGAGGCAAAAATTCTGCTTTGGCTAAAAGCCAAGATTGGACATGACAATCTATCAATCTTTTCCATCCATAATTCCCATTTACCAAACTTTATGGTCCTTATTGAGTCTGAGTTCATTTAAACTTTTCCTGGGGCAAAATTCCCACTAACTTCAATAAGCATTTTATTTGAAGAGGCAGTGAAATATTTAGAACTTGACCATGCAGGTCTAGGAATAACATCTTTTTCATCTCTATTCTATTCATACATAAGCAGGTGAGATATTCAGGGATTCCCACAGCATACAAACTCTCCAAGTCTCTAGTGCCAGAAGAAGAGAGAAATCAATAACAGTAAAATAATGATGAGGCACTGCATTTCTGTAATAAAGTATGGTGGTGAATAAGTCCACCCAGTTCTTCAGTATTACATTTGTCTTTTCTCCTGCAGACTGCAGTATATACATGCCTTCCAGGCTATAGGTCAAACCCCACTACTGGAGCATACTCTTCGTCTTTGATTTTGAAGAGTAACTGGTACCCATAAGCCTAATGAGAAGTGAGCTGGCAGGCATATTTTGGACTGTGAAGGCTTGACTGGCCCTCTCCCAGATACTGGAAGCAGTTTCTTTGAACATCTATAATAGGATGCAAAGCAGTTGACAAGAGACTCTTGTTTGAATGGGAATTAATCTAAGCCTAACTATGCTGGCATGCCGAGCGGCATGGCTGGTAAGCGGGAGAGGATATTGTCTCCTTTGAAAGCTTTGTCTTTCATATCTTGTAATGTCAAATTGATACCATTATAAAAAATAGAGCAAGCCCAAACTTCACCAGCCCACACAGGCATCTATTGCCCAGAAGCAAAAGGGTTGACAATGGAAACTGAGGGAAAAAGGAAGGGAAACGTATCTACTGGAACTGTGTCTTCATTTTCAGTAACATCTTTCTCATCTTTAACGACACAACAAAGCTACTTCCAGAACTATTCATTTCCCTTCTCTTATTCTACTTTCCTTTCAGACCTTGGCCTCTCCTACATCAATCATAGAGAAAACACACTGTATGTGTTTACTAAAAATTCCCTTACTATCCATCCCTGGCCAGAGAAGGTTGCAGAAGAAAAATCCTCCCCCAGGAAGCAAACTTGGTACAACTCAGTAATACAATTTATACATTGGACTTGTATTCTTTTAGTTTCTGTACTGACAGCACTGGTGGGGGTGTCACAGATGCCTACAGACACTCCAACCAGCACAGAAAGCATTCAGATGAGGTACAGCACTATGATATTGCGGGGTGCAGCTTTGAGCACTGAGCTGTTGCCTTCTGTCAGAAGGAGGAGAGGGCAGCTTTCACTTTCAAGTTGCCATTAGCCCTGCTTCCCACCCCTTCAGGAGGAGGATCCTGCAGCCCTAAGCAAATGGAGACATCTTTGGTTTGTGTTACGACTGGCATAAGTACAAATGGTTTGTACCCCAGCTTATCCCATACAGAAATTTCTCCTATAGCATTCTGGGCTTCAGAGCTGGCAGGGCTGCAGTTGCAAACAAGGCAACGACACCATCATGATCATTAACTGCCTGTGAAAACAGTCCTCTATTTATCTCAGTTTACACATAACCCAAGCATCTCCAACCTCTCAGTCTCACTAGCTTATCTAGGTGGACATATTAGTATTACCATCATTGTAGAGTATGTATAGGGGTAATGGTAGGCCAGGTAGCAGACATCATCTTTATGAGGGAACTTGATGCTGAAGGTGAGCGTGTAGTAGAATTTTCCTCTCATACCTCCTCCTGCAGCTGCACTGCAGCGATAGTGGTTTCTGGAAGAAGAGAAAGAGGGGGGAAGTAGACGGTTTTCACTTCTAGATGCACATTTGGAGCAGCCATGAGAGAACTAAGCATTCAGAGTAGCGTTCACCCTGCATGAGCTTTCATGTCATGATGTAGGTGGTCTCCAAACTGAACCAGTCATTGTACCAAAACTGGGAAGTCCCCAGGTAAGTACAATCAAACCGATCCCAGCAATGATCAGGTACAAAAAATATAACACGGTGGTAAACAACATCCAGCAACACAGCAATGCACCTACAGGTTATATGAAAGAAGAAAGGTTAGAGAAACCATGGCTCCACTGGACAGAGATACAAACAGGATCATGATGGTAAGTACACTGACTGAGGTGCGACAGCACATTCCAGGGCATCTCGGGAATCACACCAAGACCAGCAGGGAGTTAAAAAGCAGAACTGCGTGTGGCACAGGCAGTCCCAGCTAGTCACATGCTGCTGATGGATGGGACAACTCTCACAGAAAAATAACCATTTTGTTCATTTTGTGAAGGTGCAAATAAGAAAGAAGCCAGCTGATAATAGCTCATACAGCACAGTCCAGACATATTTAAACTAATGCATTCAGCTAACACTGCTGTATTGCTTCTGACATCCAAATTGTCTTGCTCAGAGATGCAGGTACCTATTCACAGCCCTGAACAATGCCATGTGAAAATATTCTGTGAAAGTCTGGAGATTTAGAAAATATTAATAACCTCAAAGCAACCAGTCAGTTCCACCACAGGAAGAAAAGGGATATTCCAGGAATAACAAACAAACAAACAAAAAATAAATAGGACATACATCAAAATATTTCAAATATCATCAAAGGCTCTTTGCTGAATAGGAAGAGGAGGGAAGTGGGTTTGAGTAGAGACTGCACACAGAGGAGAAGCAACCTCGTACAGACTTGTAGGTTGTGAGCTACCCAAAAAATCCTCTTCTGGATCTCCCCTTTTTGAAGACTTGAACCTCTCCTTGTCAGGAAGCAGCAAGGAACTAAAAGGTGGGGAGCTAAGCTTGCTATGGAAGCCAGCAGGGCAGGGGCCTCCCCAGCCAGTGTCCCCTCCCACAGTACCTGAGCAGGGCCTGCCCAGGGATGGCAGACAGGTTCAACCACAGGGTCAACCACACATTCAGGTCATCAGACAACTCTGTGGTGCTGAGGCACATCTGGGTCAAGCCAGGAGGTCAATCCGTGGTCGGGATCCAGATCAGCAGAGTTGATAGCAAAGCGCAGGCACAGCAGTGACTGAGCTGGAGCCCCACTGCAGCAGAGGTCAGACAGGGACTGAGTGGCCAGGACAGAGCTCAACTGGAGCTCCTGGGTAGAGGGTGTGGTTGGAGGCTGGTCAGGATCATCCAAGTCTACTAGTGCACTCAGGCCCTTGACACTCCTGTCGTTAAAACTACAAAAAACTTACAGATAACTTCTCAATCTAGTTCCAGGACCAGATCTCTTGCAGGAGACTTACTCTGATAAAAAGATGACTTCAGACTGAGTAAGAAAGTTTTCTTTCAGCAGAGATGAAGAGAAAATTCTTGCACTTTAGGGAGAAGCCTCACAGCAAATTGCATCCATAAGTACATTTCAAACAATATTTTTCCCACATTGCACCAATTATGCTGTTGCCGAACCTTCTGATTCTGAAGGACTGTGAGGTTTCTTTGACAAATGTTATCATCAATGTTGCATTAAAATGCAAAATAGAAGAGGCAACCAAAAGATGCAATTTCAGCTCCTGAAATTTACTATACTAGTTTATTTTGCTGCTGTTCATTTTTATTGAAAGGGATGGAGAGAAAAGATAATTATTCTTGTCAAATTCTCCAAAATAATCAGCTCTTTTTCATAAGGAAGACACAATACAATGCTGCTGGGTTTTCACCTGAATTCAATAGTTAGGAACATGTGGGGTGAGTGATACTGACTGGATCAATAGATAGTACGGGAACACCAAGTCATAGTGGCAAACTGAAAAGCCTATGATTTTATTCTCAGCTGAACCCTTCACCTCAACATTTCTTTTGCAAATAAGCCACCTTAATATTGGACAAAGACTCAAACCAAAAAAATTTTTTTAAAAAAGCAACGAACCCACAAATATAGAAACATCTACTTAGCTATTATGTATATATTTTAGTGGATCCAGGATTTGAGACCTTTTGATTATTTTTTAAGTCAGAACAATGCCATTTAATCTAGTTCCTGTTAATTTTGAAGCGGACAATAATTAAGAACCATTTCTGACATAGTGCATAATGACAGTACTCATCTCCATAGCCTCTATAATATTCAGTGTCAGCTGGTAGGTTAGATGACCTTATTCATAAAGAATTGTCACAAAGTGCTAAGACCTTCTGAATCCTTCCCTCCAAATTCACATTTGTAGTTAGAAGTGTGGGAGGAAGCAGGTCTTTGCAGGCAGATACTGCCTAAATATCTTACACACACATCATTCCCACTTGTCCCTAATGCTCCAGTAAAGGGTTCTCACTCTATAATCTGTAATTGTGCAGCCGAAAACGTCGTCTGTCCTGTCTGAAATGGCCACTTAACTCAGAGGTTTTGCAGCACCAGACACCTCTGACCTTGATGCTACACTGGTAGTCAATGGTCCTTATCCTGACAGTGCTTGGATCGCACGATCTTGAGGGTATCAACGCACAGTGCTCTCACTGCACTGCTTAGCACACTTCATTCTTGTTCTGAGCACCTCTGCTGCTCTAGCAAACTACCCACCCAGAACAGCTATTTCCAGGCTTTTGAATCCCTTCTTGACATCTCTTTCAGTCTATAGCAAACTATCTGCTAGTAACAGGAAGTTTACAGGTGGCTTTTTGAGGCTTCAATGTTCTTCACTCATGCATTAAAAAGAAAAACGACCTGTGTGTAAGCAGTGTAAATGATCATGTATTCTTACTGTGTGTAGTCTGGTCTCCTCACAATCCATCATATCGTGCAGTGGCTCTGAATCTTTTCAAAAGAAACATAAAAAGTAGCATTTTTCCTCTTTGCCTCCCTCTCCTAAAGTTGTGACTTCAAGACTCTATCGCCTCCTTGTTCCTTCACCAGCCTGATCATTTTTCTTCCTCACCCCTTTTTCATCACAACACTCAACCATACCAGCATGAAGCCCAAATTAATAAGCAAGGAAGAAGGAAGGAAAAAAGAGAACCTAGCAACATCTCGTCCTCACTCCCTTATTTGTGTTCTCTTTCAAAAAATGTTCAAAGTCTCACATGCTCCCTAGAAACTAATAAGCTCATTATTGGAAAGAAAATAAGAGACCAAAATGTGGGGGTTTTAATCAGCATGCAAGCAGTATCTACCATGCCTTTCAGTCACTTTGCAATAGTGAAATCATTTTGCTTGCTGTTCCCCCTCAGAAATAATGTACAGGTAGTGTATTTCTAGCATACCTGTGATAGAAAGTTAATTAACAATAATTATAATACTACTTATCGTTTAGTTTGCATAATAATTTTTTAAGCTTGAAAGACCTTTGCAAGCATTATCTAATTAAAACTTGCTTCCCATTTATCTATTCCCATTCTTTGGGTGGCAGATAAGTGACTCTAATTTTCCATCCTTTATAGATGGGGAAACTGAGACACAGACAGGTGAAGTCACTTGGTCAAAGATACAGGCAGAAATTCAAAAGCACCAATCAATACAAGAACAACCTCTCTTGGCCATCTCATCTTTAAACTTCCTATCTGCAGCATTTAGTGTAGTAAAAAGCACTGGTAGGTGATGGGATATGGCATTGTATCAGCTTAGACGAAAATGGCCAAAGAAAATATCAGTATCCTGGATTTCTAGGCCATTTCAAAACAGAGTCCAAATGGAAAGCAAACTATTTATCACATCTAATCTGCTGATGCGTTCCCTTTGTCCAAAATCCTTCTACCACCTGGTATCTGGTGTCCTTGTTCTACATGCCCTGACCTTCCTACACCTCCAAGTGTGGCTGCTAAGTGCAATATGCTTTAGTAACACCGTGGTTCATACCATTAAAAAACAGCATTTAACAATTTATGAAGCATGGCTGTTATTTGGGGGTTTGCCACGCTGGAAACTGGAAAATGCACAACACAACTTCCATTTCAGTCAGCCATGTTGGAAACTGGAAAATGTACAACACGGCTTCATTTTCAAGGGCCAAATCCATGTTAAAGCATCTTTATTGTCAAGATTTCAGGCAGAATCCCAGTCGAAGCAGAAAATCCCACAGCCATCTTGCTATTAAGGCATTCAGTCATATTGTAAAGGTCAGGTGCTCTCCAACTGAGACTGATGTCTCAGCCCTCTCTTCTAGATATCATTAGAACTGAGAGGTGGCCTGCTAATGCTACGATGATGATTTCATCTAATGTGATTATAAAGACTCTGAAGAGAAAAAGAGAAGACCTAGTTCTGACACCGCTATGATCACCAAGCAGTCAAGTCTTTACTGGTGATCTGAGAACAAAACATTCCATGTACCTCATTACTGTCTGTGAATGGACTATTGTCTGGAAAAGCTAGAGGTTAGATAATATGCTTAGAATGAGCCATGAAACTAAAGGCACAAGCACATTGTCACCAATTCAGCATGCTGCCATTGTTCCTTAAATAATTTGCCAGAAAGGAATATTATTCAGCACATAAAAGCTGCCAAGACAGCAAGCGAATTAGATGATCTTATAGTAACTGCAACTCTGTTTTTCACGGGTGTATCCTGTCACTTCATGGAGAGGCAATAAAATAGAGCAGAAGTGTCACTCAGCTTCCTTTTGACAAGAGCACCACTAATATTCTCTGTAACATAAAAATTCTCATGAGACATATGGGAAAGGTACATGATGACAGAGCTGTGCCACAACATTCATCTTCATGACTGAACGATCCCAACTTCAGTGAAGATGAATGTCAGCAAAGCTCAGCCAACGTGCATCACCTGGACATCTTGTGAATGTGCCTTTCCTCCCACTGTCCTTCAGCTCAGAGGTTGCTCTCAATAAAAGCCCTGCTGCAAAAGCAATTAAAGGCATCTCTGAGTTCCTCTTTATTTTTGTAAGTATATCACTCTTTCCCGTATTTATGAATAACTCCTGGTAAAAGTAATTAGATGAGGTTCCCTTCAAAATGTGCCACCCCAGGATACCTGTGACCAGGATGAATGGAAGTGAAGTGAGCTCTTTCCCTAAAACATAGGAAGCATGATATCACTATGGCAGTCCCATCTCCTCCTATTCTGAGCCAAAGTCTGAGCAACCCCAAACATACTTTCTTCACATTCCTTCACAACTATAACTTCTCATGACTGGGAATCTCTTTTATAATCACTGAAATAAAAAGATTAGAGTTTCAGTAGAGGTGAAAGTGCATATATGTGTGTGTGTGTGTGCACATTCTTATGTATACAAAAAAAATGTGTAAAGCTAGAATAAACAATAAATGAGACAGACAACAAATCATTATCCTAGATGAATATGTCGACATATAATGCAATGTAGTTAGAAAACACAGAATATTCCAAATCAATAAAACTCAATTCTCTCACATATTCTGAACAGGAATCTGATTACAAGCTTAATTGTACACTCATAGCTTAATCTCAAAAGTAATCTGATGTTTCATTATTCACAATAAGTGCCTTGTTAATGACATGAGAAGACACTGCTGTGGTAATCAGCACGTAAGTCTGCCCAACCAGAAGTCTGTACTCACAGAAGCCAGAGGTTATGGGCGTGCAAAGGTAAGCCACTGCACCACAGTGCGTTAGCTCTTGAGATAGAAAAGGTTAGGTGAATAAAGGTTAGTGAAAAGTACTTGGAACAAAAAAAAATAGCTACTTAAATTGCTACAGACAGGATGCCAGGTTGAGAGAGGATAATCTGAGCCTTCAGCAAACCCTGTCTCCCTGCCCTACCCCCTGCTCCCAAATAAAAGAAAGAAAGGAGATTTCAACAGAGATTTGGGATGACTTGGATTTTTTTTTTTTTTTTTTGTCAACACAAGTCTGAGGCTCTGCTACTTCTGGAAGGCAGCCCACTGTCATTGTTTGGGTTTATTGTCTCATCAAATCCACTTGTGAATGTAACCACCTCCGAACTTAACAGCAAAATTATGAACCGCAACACAAATTTCTTACTAAGAGAAAGCCCATTATTACACAGCAGTTTCTAAAATCAGGCTCATCAGTTCATGAAGGAATGAGTATCATTTAGAACATCAGAGAAGTTCAGCTCTGTTCCAAGAGTGCTACTTACCGTGCCAGACAATTATCATTATTGTTAATTGTGTTAACACCTCTCTGTTTTCTTGTATTTCCCTGACTATCTGCAGTCACTGGGTAGCCCATGCCCTGTGCCCCAACTGCAGTCTTAGGGGCAAGGACCAGACTGTTGGTTTGGTTATATATTGCCCAATGCAGTACCCATTAAGTCCCGGGACACTGAGGCATTTTGGTGATGCAATTTGTGACTAGGAATCATGATGGAAAATATAATTAGAAGAAGAAAAAAAAAAAAAAAAAAAAGGAAAACTTGTCACTCAGGCATTCTCAGCCCCAGCTTTCAGGTCATGACAGGTAAGTCCAGGATGAAAAAATTAACACCAAATGCTGCAGTATTTGATTAAAAGTATGCGAACTTCACCCATGATGCTCTACCAGTTCATCCTCAGCACAGAACCTCTTTTTTCCAGCCCAGGGCTCCTCTTCCTGCTTGCACCACCCCAGGCTACATCGTTCCCCAACATCCCGCTCACAGGCACTCAGCCAAATACATTTACTCACACCTGTAATTTTCCCACTTGTTCTATTCTGTCCCCCACAGCCTTCAACTCTGCACAGATTTTCTAATCCAAAACATACACCAGCTATCTTAGTCCTGAAAACCCTTTCAACTGTCATCTTTAAAAAAAATAAATGTTTTGGAGAACATTTTTCAAGCCTTGAGAAAATAAAACCGGGTTTGTTCAACCTATTGAAAGCCCAAACTCTAGACTTGTCTCCTTTGACTATAATAACAAGAATGAATTGAGGATCAATTTTCTGCGTGGAAATGAGTGAGTTTCTCACATGAGTCAAACTCCAGCTCAGATACATGTTAAAGATGAGACTGATCTAGCATTTCTCTTCTGAGGCTCTGACACACTCCAGAAACAGCCTGAAACAGGAAACTTGCGTAAGCATCAGCACTAAGCTTGTCCAAACTCCTTTACACCACTGCTGCCTGGCCCCAGTAGTAAGACAAAAGTTCCCATAGGACAGCAAGTAGGGCTCATCCCCACTGTGTCTGCTATCAGGACAAGGTTTAGACAGTGCCAAGAAGCACAGCCCACGGAGCAGTTTGCCTTCTAGGATTTGAGTTCCAGCTCTGCAGTTAAGGGAAGCTTGTGAAGATACTAACGTATAGAGATAGATTCACAAACAAACAAATAAATGTGCGTTTCCATATGTTGATTTCTACATTTATATTTATGCAGGTGTATATACACCATCTCCACCCCCCAAACACTCCTATGTACATGCTAACCCTTTCTTTATCTCCTCAGCTCCTACATCTCTTATGAAAGTCAGTTTATGCAGAATGAAAATAATTATCCCATCCAGCTCATTTCTTCCTGGACAAAAAGCCAATTCCTGGAAAAAAAGCCAATTCGACTACCTTTGTGGGTTAAGCTTCCTTGTATTCCTGGCTGCATCAGCAAGGTTTGAGCACTCCCCATTCCCTTTCCTCCTCTTTTCTCCCAGGCAAGTGAATTCCACACGTATTCCACACGTGTCCTGTCTCTCCCCAGGCATCTAAAACAGAGATCTCACTTGTAGCTGTTTTCTGAAGGTGGAAGCGTGTAACGCATTGAGCTAGCAGCAATTTAGAGACATTTGAAACAGGTGCCACTGGTGGTCAAAGGTTAACAACATCAATACAGTTATAACAGGAGAGGAACACAGGGGAAAGGAAGCTGCAAATTATTCACCAAAAATGCACTTACTTGTAGTAGCAGATATCATGGCCTGCCCGAAGCCAGCGAGGCCTGCCCTGGAGAGCTTCCTTCACTGAATACATGACCAGCTGCATGCCTGCATAAAACAAAACAGTTTCAAGTGACGTGACTTCCCTGGCTGGAAAAGACAGGGATGGGGGGGGGAAACGCTAAACAAGAAGCATCGTTATTTTCTCTATGCTATCTCTGCAGATAGTTTATGCAAAGGAAATACATTTCCCAAAGCCCCATGCTTTGTTCTGATATAGCTGTGTCTGTACAAAAAGCACCTTCAGAAGAAATGAGCTGAATGGACTTCATTAAAAAAAAAACAGATTATCCAACTGGCCTTTGCAAAGAAGGTCTTCAAGCTGCTCTGTTTACAAACAGAGGAAGGGAAAGAAAGGAATAAGAATCAAGGTATCAATAAGATCAGTAATTTGGTTAGTCCAATATTTTATGCTTGGCTGAACTCATTGAAACCTTAATCCTACCACAGCAGTGGAGATCTGCAGAGCATCCAGTACCATACATTCAGAAAGTAACAAGCAAAGCTAGAACGTTTTAAACTTGCCATTAGACCTAATACCTGTGTCATAAATGCTGATAACAATAGCATCCAACTTTGTAGCGTATCATAGCAGATGACTTCTTCCTGACCTCCAAAATTGATGCCCTGAGGTATGAGGCTTTCTCTGATCTGAGCTGCATATGCATTACTCGCAGCTTCACAAAGCCAGCCCATCTGAGGCAGTTTTTGTATCAAATTCCTTTGCTCTCCACACCTGCGTGCTCTTTTACAGTTACTGCAAGGATCCTGCCCTCACCAGCAAAGCTCTCCGCACAGGGTGGCTCTGCCAAGGGGCTGGGGGCTGCAGGGGTGGCCTCTGCCCCAGGGTGGTGCCAGCCAGCTCCAGTGGAACCAGTGCAGCCACAGCTGAGCCCAGCAACAATGCTGGTGGCACTTCTGTGCAAGTGTATTTAAGAAAGGGAAAAACACGCTATCAAGTATTTATGCATGTTGAGAAGTTGTCCCCTGGGCCTTCTTTTGGCTGTTCTTGTGCTGGGAGGAGGCGATGCTTGAAAATCATTGATACTGATGACATATTTCAATAAGGAGCTATTCCGTTTCCCTTCTTCCTTTGGGTTTCTCTGTTAAACCCCCCAGTGCTTTAAGAGGTGGCAAGTGTGCCAGCAGAAACGCCTGTCCAGTTCACCTTTGGCTGGGGTGTGACGTAGCACTAACCAGCCTACAGCTAGGAGTAACCTCTATACTACTGCTTCCTGAACCAGCACAGGAAGCCACTTACAAAAGGGAATTGTGTGTTTGGTTCCAGGACGTGGGCCACAGTGAGTATCAAGAGACACAGGCCTGCCCAGAAGCCCAGTTCACCAGACAAGGGACATGAGGCTCAGTCTCTACAGTGCTCTCGCATCCCAGACTCCAGCTCCTGCCCTTTGTGAGTCCAAGGGACACACCCACCAAACTGCCTCAGTGATGGTGGATACTGCTCTGCCATCTCATTTTAATTTAAAAAAACCCTCTAAAATATGAGGTTTTACTTTCCACTTTCCCTACGGAAACATTCAGTTTTAGAAAACAAACACAACTCAGGGTTCTGACAAAACCCCATTACTCCCCACGGTACACCTAAGTTAGTGGAAAAGGGGGAAGGAGAGAGGTAGAGGCTGCACCTCCTGACTTGCTCTGCTGCTGGTCACAGCTACTTCATTAAATATCCTTTTTGCTAATTTCAAAGTTAGACAGTGCCATCTTACCAAGATCAAAAGGGAGGGAAGGGAAAAATCAAACCAGATCAACAACCAAGAGCTGTAAAGTATTGCCACCCATGGCACTTTGGCACTACATCACAAATGGAAGCTTTCAGCATTATATCGTGGGCATTAGCCCAGGACAGTGCAGAGGGAATGTAATGAATAAACATCATCTCCTACCAACAGGCTGTGTAAATATTATGCATGTGCTGGAAGGGGTAGTGAGCCTCGTTCAGCCAAGCCAGATAAGCTAGAGCTTCACTGCCCTCTCAGAGCAGCAGAAGTAACCCACAGAAGAACTGCTTTAACAGCCAATCCTACGTACAAGCCGTACAAAAGCAAGCCGTGGCTTAGCCCCACTCCTTACACAGGATGGTATTTTCACATTTTTCTTCCAAATGTATTTTTCATTGCACACTTGAACATGTGAGTCATGTACAATTTCAGGTGCACAAAATGAAATTATTAATGCCGGCAATGGCCAAACTAGCAGATAACAAGCAATCTTCCACCAATAATAGCCAATTTTAACAGTCAATTATTATAATTATTATAATAGCGAATTCTAACGGTTCTCTAGCTGGGAAGCTACTGGTGGCTGTATCAGAGGTTGTACTGGGGTTTACATTTAGACCTCAACATGCTTCAATTTTAAGCTGCTACCAGACACACCACACTGAATTGTTTGATAATTCAGGGAAGCAGAATAAGATGACAAAAAAAAAAAAAATTCATTTTCATTTGAGATCTATATGAATACTTGAACTCCAGCCCTTAGGGTTAAAGAGCAAATGCCTTATAATTCATTATGCCACTCATCCAGCCAGTTTCACAAATACAAGTGACAAGTTATTCCAGATCCTAGAGCTATTTGTTTTAGGTACAGTGATCCTGAGAGAGTTCTCCTGGTGATGTCGAAGGCTGTATCCACAGGGCTTCAGAGGAATGCAAAGTCTGATATTAGGGGCTTATTAAACATTCTGAGTCAGGTCTTGAGCTGGTGTAAATTAACACAGCTCCATGGAAACAAATAAAAAAAAACAGCCTATGCCAGCTAAGAATTCAACCCACAGTCTCCATGCAGAAGAAATTATTTCTCTTCTAAAATGGGTACTGAAAGCTGGGATTTGCCCTGCCTATTTCTGAGCAATACCGCCTTCCTCCTGAACCACAGACTATGACAGGAGCTCAAAGACAGAAAGGAACAGCAATTTTTTTAATCATTAACATCAGCAGAAGTCTCAGCAGATCTGAAGGCAGAGATGTCTTTCTGGATAAGCCCAAAGAGTCATGAATATTTGTTCAAGGATTATCTACATTTATTTAAATCTTAGAAGAATCTTTCCAATCCTATGTTGCTCATTCAATTCCAGCAGATTGTCTTTTCTCCCCTCTCCCAAGCCTAGTGCCGTTCTTCCCCAGTTCTGGTCTCAGAACAATGACTTTTCTCCCCCACAAATCCTCTCCCAGGTCTCAATATTCAGCTTCCTCCTCAGTTCTCCTGAGGACAGAGAAAGGTCCTTTGACAAGTCTGAAGTAACCCTTTCAGTGGATTTCAGGGCAGACAAGATTAAATTTAGAGCCTCCCTTATAGACATGGAAAGTTCAAAACCTTTATGGCATTAAAAAAAAAAAAAAGTTTTTGTGAACAGAAGACTACCCCAATTCCCCAAAGACTCATACCATAATTAAATTGGCTATTGAACTTCTCACAGTTGATAATGTTGAAGCGATAGGGAACTGCTAATTTCATGTCACGGACTTCAAAGTAGAACCACTGGTGATGCTGGTTGCTGTTCACATCCGCATTCATAATTAAGTCATATTCAAACCTGTAAAGGAAGACCAGAAAAAATGGTGTGGCCATGAACACGCCACCAGTCTGCCACTGAACCTGCTGAGTGAGGACAGCAGAATATACAATCAAATTCATTAATATCCTGTGAGAGTCAAAGCACACCATCAAATTAGTGGTGCCCACCACACACCATTAAATACTCACACTATGTTAGTCATGCCAAAATATTATGAGCTCTGTCTTGTCACTCCTGTTACACAACATCTAGGTATTGGAAGGCATGATAAGCTTTGAGTCATGTAACCTGCTTCCCTGGCCGACCCTTTCTAACCCCAGGAGATCCCCACCATTTCACACTGCGGTGACAGCAGAAAGGCAGGCTGGGACCCAACCGCTTGCAGATTTACTTACTCACGCACTTGGATGGCTTTGCGAAGGTTTCCTGATTCAAACTTGGAGAAGAATGTCAGACAGCCTGGAGCACCTGGGCTTGAGCAACTGCAATAAATCAAAGCAAGGATACCTATAGCAGGTTGCTTCAAAGATGAGGTCTCCTCAGCACTTTTTGTATGCTAAAATAGGTTTTTATGGGGTTTTTTTTATAAGAAAGACCCTGAGAAGTAGCAAGAGGTGAGAAAATCTGTAATCTTCCGATCCAGTGCAGCATTATTCTCTACTCTTGCTTAGTGATTCTAAATCGCATCTTCTTTTCCTTTCTCAATACTCCCTTTTGCCCCAGTTGATATTTACTTCCTTTCTTCCAGTTACTTTGCCCACTGAGTTATTGCCATTAGTTTATTATTTGTACAAGACAGCTTTATACAATTACTATACCTTTACTCTTACTTCATCTATATAATTTCATTCTCCTAAAGCTTAGAAACCCTTTAATTCATCTTGAACAACATCAGAACTTTCTCCAACCTCAAACTGTTCTTCACCATTTTTATCCTCTAAAGAATGTTCTCTGAGAGACTCATCCTTCCTCTGAATGCAATTTCTTCATATTTGGTACCCTCTCAACTGCCTTGTGCTACATCTTCTCAAAGATCACAGTTGATGGCCATAGCTTAAGACAATTCACAAGGCTGGATGCATGGTGTTCAGAAGCCTTTTATAAGTGCCACACTTCTCAGGGTATGTCTGCAGCCTGTGACACCGGCTGTGCAGACACTGAAGCGCACTCCCAATGGGAAATACTGCTGCAGGGTGTGGAGAGACTGCATCTGGATTCATAGGTACAATTCCCAGCGTCAGCCTGCACGCTGCTGTTCCAAATCACTACATGTAATGCAGATGTATCCAGGGACATCAACAGTCTCTTTGATGTACAGATTATCTTGTTCTGTCTAAAAGGTTTTGAGACTCTCTTGCTCCAGTGACTTCCACAATAAATCCTTTCCCCAGAGCCATGTACAAGGAATCTACTCCTCCTGCATATTTTTCCTGTTGGGCTTTTACCTCCTAGGTGATTTCTTCTGTACCTTTATCAGTGCTGAACTAGTAAACTGAGGTTGCTACCTAACCCAGGACTGACAGTGCCCCTGGTTACAGTACTCAATATAAAAGTTACCCACCTGGGCTCATCTAAATCAAAAACAGTTCTGCCTATCACATCACCCGGCCGGATTAAGCGGCGAACATCATCTAGTACTTTGTCCCTAGGAAAAAAAAGCAAGCAAATTGTAATGACACTGAAAGAAATCTTGACATAGGGTAACCTTGTAGAAAAACTATGAAGAGGCTTAGGAAATTCTTTTGAAAGACTGGTAAGAAAGAAGACTTCTATGTGCTAATTCCAGGTAAATTTAATTTCTATATGTTTTTGGTTGGTTGTTTTTTTTACCATGAGAAACTCCCACTCCATTGCTGTTACAAGTTGCCTTTTGGGTTAAATGACTGATTCAGTAAAATTTTTATTCTCTACAATATTTCATCAAGTTTTATTTATCCCCAGTTCTTCCCAGCCAATGTCAGTATCACAAATGGGCCAGCCTTGCCCTGTGAGGAAATATCTGCCATAACTTATAAACCTACTAGTCTGTCTCATAGTGAATCTTTACTCTAAATCAAGCTAATTTCTAATCATTATTAAACAGAATTTCTCTGATCCCTAAAGATGATCAAATGTGGAATACCAGATTTTATTCCTGACCTTTGCAGCAATCATGTTATGCCCTGAAGCATGATATGATTATTCCCATTTTAGCTGTATGGTTACACATGTTGTTATAGTCATAAAAGCAAAGCTTTTAGAGCAACAGTGCAAGGAGAAGACAGTAGAGTGATTTTGCTTCTAAATAAGATTTTTAGCTTTTATATTTGCTTCAGAAAGAATCATTATCTCTCTTGAGATCAGCAATTAGTGGTCTTCACAAATGCCATTTGATTAGCGTTGATCAGCTTTAAAGTTTAGCGTAGAATCCAGCCTCTTTGGTATCGGCTAATAATTCCCTTTACCACTAAAAAGAAGTGTAAAGTCATTGCACACAGCCACACATGGAACAGACAAAATGGTAGTTATAAGAAAAGCTTCCTCTCCCAGCACAGCTTCAAAATACAGCTTTCCCCTCATCTGAACACCTGAAATAACATGAGAAAAACAGCAGATTCTAGCAGTGTGCCAGAGAGATCTGGTTTTAATTCCTTCTGTGGGTTGCATGCCATCCATGCTGCCTTCTTCTAGCAGGCTGGGCAGCAGGGAGGGCAACCAGCTTACTTACCCTGTCCCCACTGCTGCTCTCTGGCTCATGACAGACTTCCCAGCAGCAGACGCACATGCTAGGGAAGGAGGAGAAGATTCTGGAGCACCCCATGGAGCCGGCAGGGAGTGAGAGGCACAGTGAGAAGGGACACAGCAGCAGAAGGGTAGACAGGGAGATTCCCAAGAACGACCTGACACAGACACACAGCTCTGGGAGGACAGAAAGGATTTTTCCTCAGAGAGCCAGATGGGACCCAGTGTTGCAGGCACTAAAGGTGGTGCATGAAGAGCAAGACTGAAGGCAAAAACGTATCCTGAAAAGACACAGAGTCTTCTCTGTCTCTAAAATGAACACGTTCTCATTTGTGTTCGAATAAGGTCACAGATTCACAGCTCATGCTGGGTCTTGGTCTGCTTACTTTAAGGAAAAGCCACTAGAAAATCCACGTCGGAGCTTTTACTAGCTTAGAGACCCATCAGGTACATAGGCATATCAATATGTTTATCAATAATTAATCAATAGCAATTCTAAATATGAGATAGGGGAGGCTTTATGGATTCTCAGAAACATAAAAATCTCATCTCACTCCGGGGCTGCTACTACCACCTACCACCACCAGATCTACAAGACAAAGAAAGCAACACACAGACAGTTCACAAATCATCCACTGACACACAGAAAGTCCATGTCAGAGACACGTAATGGGTTTGCTGATTCCTAATCCTGCTCGTAATCCAGCTAGGTACCATTTTCCTTTCCTCGGGAGGAAAACACAAATTAGATCATCCTGCTGTTTGGCTTTGTGGCAAATCACCGGATAGCCCAAAGTTTATTCTGTAACTTCCTAAGACATTCAGAGATGTTATAGTCAGAACCTAGATAAACCAGTTTTGAGCCTGAGAGCTCTCGGTGTGGTAATTACATTATAAAGCACAATCACCTTTGAACCCCATGCTTGCGTTCCAACATGGGCTTGCTGTAAGGTGGTGGCTGGTGACCCCAGAAATCAGGGAATGCCAAGTCTTTGTAGTCTGCTATGGACTTAACACATTTGGCCCTGGCTACGTAGAAGCGAGGGCTGTGGAATGGGATATCCTCTTGGTGTTTCTCCAGAAGATTTGTCAGTGTGTATGAGCTCTCCAGCCTCCCTCCAGCATTAGGATTGATTGAGTCCTCACACTCAGAGCAAAACATTTTTTTGCACCAAGCAGCATCTTTTGGGAGAGGACGCAAAGCAAGCACATGACTGCTGGCTGGATCTTCTTCCTCACAGGAGGGTGCGTCTTGGGCTGCTTCTGCGATGTCTCTCTTTACATCAGTCTGGTCCCATCTGCACTTCTCCTTCTTTGTCCAGCTCTGCAGTGGGATTTTGAAATCCTTTTCCCCTGGATCTGGTCCCGTCTCTGTGACACTTTGGTTTCTCCATCTGTAGTTCGGAGGCTTCACAGAAGTAGTACTTGGAATGAAATGAGAGGGAGTAGAGGGAAGACTCTCAGCCCTGTCCTCCAAGGTCTTCTCTTCCTCAGACTCCGATTCAAGCTCCTTTAAATTTAAAAAGCAGAAGAAATTAAAAGAGACCAAAGACAGATTGTGCCTCCTTCCAGAGGAAACCTTTCAAGGAAGAAAGAGAAAATATTTACAGATCTCCCCAAACCACTCATCCAATAAGATAGCTAGAGTAAAGTCAGCCCATGGACCACCTGCCAGAATTTCTCTATCCACAAAGCTGTTTCAACAGTTGTCCCCAGAAACTAAAAGGATCAAATTGAGTCATCTGGGTGAGTCATCTCCAACCAAAACTGATTGTTCTAACAAACTAGGGAAGATAATTTGCAAGGCATTTTTTAAAAAATATAAATGTTACAGCAGGTTAAAGGAGGCCAATCTGTCATGCAAAACTCCACCTCTGCCTTCATGCAAGAGTATAACTTAATCCCATTTGGCTACTTATAATAAATGTAGCATTGTGTGTACAGGAGCTATATTAAGCCAGTGGTCCTTTCTAGATTTGTATTTGAATCACAGTTTTCAGCTCTTCTAAATTCCAAGGCTTGTGATGAGTGCAATACTCCATTTCTTGTCCTAAACTGCAGTAGAACAATGATTTGAACTGTGCATTTCACTCAGGAGCAGGGCCATCTGCTCCATCACTTCCTTCAAAACACTAGTTGGCAATATTTTATTTTCCACATCTCATTCTGATCTTGACATTTGCCATCAAAATTGCTAGCAAAGATACAAAATATTACCTGACAGATTTCTCATGTGGCAATTGATTTAGTGGTGCTTAGGTAATCCACACCCAGCCAAATGTGCACCAAACATCAATCCTTTTCTATCACTCTTGATACACACTAATAAACTATAGCAGAAAGTCTTAATCTTTGTTTTTCCAGTCCTATAAGACATCTAGATTTCCTTTTGCAGTTATCTCATCAGTACTCCCTTTTGAGTATTTCTTTAACTCTTGGATATTCACAAATAAAGGAAGCCACACTGTGATAGTACCTGAAAATTATGGGAAAGTTCTGGACACATTGATTCATACTGTCTAAGCTCTTCCTCTGGTCGGTCGAGCACTGGTCTTGACCTCAATTTGTTCACATCTGTCTCCAAGTCATAATCCTACAAAAGCAGAATTAGAAAAACATGTATATTAAACATGCCCCACAAGATAAGGTTAAAGTAATATTCTGCATAATACCCTTGATTTCTAATGACATCATACTCATTTAATGAGTCCTATAACTGTTCTTCCCATACTTATGAAGGCTGTTAAAGACATTTTATGGAATGGAAAATAGATGCACAAGAGAAAAAACTACATCATGAAAAAGAGGGATTTGATATTTTGGTATTTGAATACCTAAGTAGAGATACGATGAAAAGATGTTTTCAAAAAAGCATCAAGACTGAAACTTGAACCTTTTTATAAGCAGCTCAGCTTGGGTGGTTTCAAAAAAAGAGACAGCAATAACTACTAGTTATTTCTGAGCATATCATCCATTCTCTTAATTATGTTGCATAAACCAGTAGGCACAGGTCCTTAAGATGTATTTGGTAATATTCTAATTCAAAGAGACAATCATCAAATAAATGTATAGGTAGCACGAAAATTCTCAAAGTATATCAAAGTCAAAATTGTCCTCACAGGCTACCAGCAAAATTAGAAAGCTTGACACTTCTACCTTTGATTTAGACAACCACATGGTTTCTCTGAGTGTCTACCAATCAAACTGAAAGGCCCACGTCTGTATTATTGAACTTGCAGGCACCAATTACTTATATTTTATTTTTATCTCTCAATACTCTTTATAAAAATCTGTGAAACTCTTGCCCAATCCCTCTTCTATACTCTCCAGTTTTCTCATTATTTTTATATGAAAAAAAGCTTTTTAGATCTCAACCATCAGCAAATCAGGGATAAGAACTGAAACTTTCACAGTCAAAAGAAACTGTGCATTGATGTGCAGCCTCCTCCATATCAGATATGAAAACCAAAACAGAACTGTGTCAAGCATTCAGTCATTGCATAAGAAGCCAGGAAAAGATAGGGCAAGAGGGTGGAATGAAGACATGGCATTGTTGACTGGGCATTACACTACAACATTCTTCAAAGAATTCATCATCATTAGTAAGTATGCCCCACCAAATGCCAGTAAAGTGATTTGCTCCTGATACACAGACTCATTTCTGAAGCTGTTATCAAAACAAAAAATTGCCAGAATATAAAGGTGCCCATGGCATTTAAAACCCTGAGCACACCTGTATCGCAAAGCAGAGTTTCAACTGCTGTTTGGGCCTAGCTGAAAAGGCAATGAAGAGCTGCACAGAGTATAAGGTCACTTTAAAAGGATTTGCCAATAACAGCATAATGATGCATAAGCAGCTTCAAATTTGCTGAAGATTTGGGTTGAGGAGGTTACATGGTTGATGGGATGATTTTGATTTTCATAGAACTGTCCAAACAGTTACTGATGGAAATGTAGACACAAACTTCTGCTTGGTTGGTATCACTAGTATGCATAGATATAAGTTATGTAGCTGTGAAAATGTTTGTAAATCACATCAATACCAGGAAACACTGTGCAAATGCTATCTCATACAAAAAGGGTAAACTGAAAGTTCATTATTGATTCCCTGCTTGCTTTCCCTTTAGAAAGATTTGTCATGGGAGATATATGACCAGCAGACCAAACAAATAGTACTTAAAACTCATATTCAGAGCAAGCACTTAGGCAAAAAAAAAAACCCACAAACCAACCAACCTGCTCACATCTACTTGGTAAATCCTTATGAATAATGAAATAGTTCAGAGGCATATAGAATCTGTTTCTGAATGAATAACTAATTAAAGGAGGAGATGAATTCACTGTGAAGTGTATTCCTAATGACCATCTTGATGAGCTGTTATATTCAGATAAAACCAGCCAGACAGGGGCAAGTTAGGACACTGAGTTAATGTGGGGTTTTTTTATTAACTTCCTTTTTTGTTGGGTGACGTCAGTTTAATTCTTGAGGAGAAAAAGACAGGGCAAGTAATGAAAACGCCCTTCCACAGAAATCTCAATCGTATCTAATTAGGCTGTATTTGCAACTTCATTTCTTTAATTTGCCTTCCCAAACTGCTTTATGTGCATAAGAATTATTAGCAGCATTCACTACTTCACATTTGCGTATGTGCTTGTATGTATTTTCATTAAAAAATGTTTGCACCCTCATTCTCAGGTGGTAGGGATTTTTTTTTTTTTTTTGCATTAGGTCATGACAGGGAAAGTGCAAAGGGAGAAGTCAGAAAAGTACTGAATAATTAATTTTATTATTTGTCTGCGTGCAGCAGCAAATAAAGAAATATAGGTTCAAATGCCCCAGCTATGGTTTAGAACTAGTCATCTTCTTAGGGTAAGTGCAGAGCCCAAATATGCTGATATGGGAAGAAAACGAGGGTTAGTCTTTCCTAGGCGATAACTATTTTTCACCTACTAAGTGCCATTTCTGCTCTACACCTGGAAGAATCAAACATCCATCATTTATCCCTGACTGTGCATGTGGTTCTAGTAGTCACTGGTCAGGCTCTCTACAGGAACAAAGAAGCCACCAAACCCTCATCATCCTGGGTGACAAGCATAGCATTTAGTAAGATAAATTTCAGAAAAATCAGTGCTTTCTCTTTTTGTTCTTTCAAGTATCCTTCTATTATTCATGTAGTGTATTTATGTGGGACCACATCCACATCTACATTCTCTGCTTAGCTTATCAGGATTTCAAAATGGACAATGAAAAGTTTTACTTTCCAGTATATGGATGATTAAGGAAACTATGGCTCATGTACCTACTTCCTCCTTACTCTCCACATCTTCATTATCCAGGTCTTTTTCATCCTCTTCCTCTCCATCACTTTCATAGTCACCTGAAGAAGTAGAAAAGAGGTGGAGGCAAAGGTGTTTAACCCAATATCTCTCTCGGTCCCTCCACAGAAATATGTGCAATCTCTTCTGTGTGTGCCACACTCCTTCAAGCTACAACCCACACAACCCTTATTAAAGCAGATCCCATTTTTTAAACTAGTATGAAAGAATTTGGCACTAAATGTCCCACTTTTTAAAGCTTTGTTCTCTTGGACTGGAGTAGTGCCTTTCAAAACCATGACAAATGTCACCATGATATAGGTCCAACTCGTATTACAAAGCAATACAGAGATTTTCTGCTTGGCTGCAATGATATTGCAGGATGCTCTTAATCCATATTATATAGATTAGTGTGTTTTACTGCTATCATCATTACAGTATTTGAGCATCTTCCATATGAAACTGAAAGCACAGAGAAATTGTGTGTATCACGGAGTCTGCCATTTCTCCTTTTCTGTGGAGTGGCTATCCTGACTGTGCTTAAGTTCTGCTTTTCAGCAAGCGCTCACATCATTTACTCATGCAGTGTGACTGCTATATGCTTTTATTTTAGAAAGGAAATAAAATAATATTTCATGCAGTTCTTCACTGAAAAAGCTGCAGGGCAGTGTTACACACACCCCCCACCCCCCCACCCCCTAGTCATGCACAGGCACAATTGTCTCTCCATCTGTTCTTGTGGAGCAATGGCATTACCACCCTCCGCCATTCCCACTCTGCTCCATTATTTTTTGGATAATAGGAAGATTTTTTTCCCCCTTTTCCTTGCTCCTTTTAATCTTCTCTCATTTATTCTCCAAACAAGATTTGAGAAAACCTGGGAGTAGTTTCATCTCTACTGAGTGACACTGTAGGCCATCAGATTAATTTTTACCCTAAACCTCAGCACTAGGCTGCCAAGACTCCCTTCCCCAGAGACCACATTTTATTCTCATATCATGGTCCTTGTCCCCTCACTGAACTCACCCTTCAGCCATTTACCTTCAGACCCCTCACATGGAGGTTCAGCCTTGGCATTCCTAGGAAGAGGGAAGGAATAGGAACTTCTTACTGATGCCAGAGGCAGAGGCTCCTTGGGGTAGCACTTTCTCAGAATCTGAGTCACAGTGGTTATGATAGGATCCAGATTTTTGCAAGATAAGCAGTCCTAGGATCCAAAGAACAATGTTAAGATTTGTCTCTTACAGTTGTCCTGCTTCATATTTATGGCTTTTTTCCTCACCTCTTCTTTTCTTTTTTCCCCTTGTCTCTTCTACCATTAAAGAAATATGCCTGAAAATATGCCTCAAGTTCTTGCAGTCCATTTCTTACAGAAATACAGGCTAGCATGGACCTCATGGGACTTCCACCGGTGCATGTCATTTAGAAGACACAGATCCCCTAGCTCTGCTCTAAGATATAGTCAGGATATATTAAAAGAAGGTATAATAATAGCATAAGCTAAAATATCTTTGCTAACACAGGTACCAGTAGCACTGAAGAGATGTGTTTTTTAATACAGGTTAAAAAAATCCTGCAGGGAGTCCATGTATGTGTTTTGGCTGCCAACACATGCCAAAATCTGTGCTTCTGTGTCTTCACCACAACTATACCCAGAGCTATCATGTCAAAACTATCAGAGGTAAGCTAGCACAGTTAACATCATCATTTCACTGTACTCAGGGTACACAAAGTATACTCAAAGAGAGCATTCTTGCTGTACTCTATTCTATATGGTTAAGCCTTAGGCCCAATAGTTAGTCTGAAATATCGCTATATATTACCTAGTCATAAAATATTGAATTCCTGCATTATCCCCCATTTTCTACTCTTATAATCTAGAGTAGGAAACAGAAGTGTAAAGAGCTATGAGAGCCCAGATAAACTTTAAAGACATAGATTATTTTTGTATTTTTATTAGCGTGCTATACAAGTGAACTCCTTGGTCTTTCATGGCAAAGAGAACACACACATGCACAGAACTAAAAGCAAATACCCCCGGGAGATTACAGTAGGTGTATGTCTGACATTATCTATCTGGACTCATGCAAAGTATTTGACACTGTCCTGCACAACATCCTTGTCTCTCAATTGTATTTGACAGAGCGGACCACTCAGTGGATAAGGAACTGGCTGGATGGTTGCACTCAAAGAGTTGCGGTCGATGGCTCAATGTCCAAGGGGAGACCAATGATAGGTGCTGTTCCTCAGGGGTCAGTGTTGAAACTGGCACTGTTTAACATCTTTGTTGGTAACACGGACAGTGGGATTGAGTGCACACTTAGCAGGTTTTCCAGTGACACCAAGCTGTGTGTGGTGGTCAGTGTAGTGGAGGGAAGGGATGGGCCATCCAGAGGGACATGGACAGGCTGGAGAGGTGGGCCTGTGCAAAATTCATGAATTTCAACATGGCCAAGTGCAAGGTCCTGTTGCCTGGGTTGGGATAATCCCAAGCACAAATACAGGCTGGGCAGGTAATGGAATGAGAGCAGCCCTGTGGAGAAGGACTTGGGGGTATTAGTAGATGGAAAACTGAATATAAACCAGTAACCGTATCCTGGGCTGCATCAAGAGACGTGTGGCCAGCAGGCTGAGGGAGGGGATTCTCCCCCTCTACTTGGCTCACATAAGACCTCACCTGGAGTACTGTGTCCAGCTCTAAGGCCCCCAGAAAGACATGGACCTGCTCAAGTGGGTCCAGAGGAGGTCACAATGATGCTCAGGGGGCTGGAGCCCCTCCCCTGTAAGGACAGGCTGAGAGAGTTGGGGGTGTTCAGTCTGGAGAAGAGAAGGCTCCGGGGAGAGCTTATAGCGGCCTCTCAGTGCTTAAAGGGGCTACAGGAAAGGGGAGGAGGGACTGTTATCAGGGGGTGTAGAGATAGGATGAGGGGTAATGGTTTTAAACTGAGAGAGGGTAGATTTAGATTAGATCTAAAGAAGAAATTCTTTACTGTGAGGGTGGTGGGACACTGGCCCAGGTTGCCCAGAGAAGCTGTGGCTGCCCCCTCCCTGGCAGGGTTCAAGGCCAGGTTGGACGGGGCTTTGGGCAACCTGGGCTAGTGGAAGGTGTCCCTGCCCAGGGCAGGGGGGTTGGAACAAGATTATCTTTAAGGTTCCTTCCAACCCAAACCATTCTATGATTCTATTTTGTGTCTTCAATATAACAGAGACAGGAGGTTTGGATAAGTAAATTACAGCTACGGCACAAAGGTGAATTTGCATAAAACCAATAGGTGCAATGCTCAGAAAACAAAGCCTTCGGGCTTCCCCAAGAACAGTGCATCTATACGACAGCCTCTATCGGAGAGACTGAGTAATCAATGTAGTATCCTGCCAAAGTTCACAAGTTGTACTGTGACTACCAGCATGTTGCCTTCAGTTGCTTGGGCCTAAGACTTAGCTCATCAGAAAAGGAATGCAAGTCAAATAAGCAGGATGAATGTGCTATAAGGCAAAAGAGGAATATTACAATTACATTCTAATGCCATTTAATACTTTTGCATCCCTTCATCACAGATAAAATGGAACAGCCTGGAAGGCAGAATAGATACTTTTTGCCACTGACTGACAGCCCATACTTAGGATTTGGGCTGGACAAAAGATGTATTCATCAGAACCAGGAAAATAGCCAAAGAATGTAGCAAAGTATTACAATTAGGAACAGGAAAATAGCTATATTGGGGTTTTTTTGGTTGCACAGGATTTTATTCTGTTTTTTCATGTATGATTGAAGGGCATTATAAGATTCAGTGGGATTAACCAGAATTCCTGTAGGGAGACTAGAAAAATCATCTAAAGCTGACATGCTTACAAGACTCACTACAACAATCTTAATATGTATTTCTAGATCTCTGGCTGCTAGGAACAAGGGGGAGAGAAAAGACAATTTTGAAAGCATCTCCAAGGAAATTTTTATTGTGGTTAGAGCAAACGCCAAGGAGAACAGATTTCTATTTCCAGTGTTTCAATATATTCACTTTTTTCACATGGTGTGTGGTTGCCTTTGTTTGCTGGTTATTAAAGGAAAGCTAAGGGAAGTTTGTCTACATGTGGGAACAGAATAACAATCTTGAACAATCTTACTATGGTTTACTAAAATTGTTCTGTTTTTACTAGAACAGTGAACACAGGACTGTATAAATGCCTGCCTTGGGCCAACCATCTTAATTCACTGCTAAGACAGTCAAGAACAATGCATGTTCATCCAGACAGTGAACTTCCATACATGGAGTTATTCAATTATGCTATTTGAAAGTTTTTTTTTTTTCCCCTTTACAGCAAATTAGCTTACAAGTGCAAACAAGCCTTCAGATAGCTTACAGTGAATTTGTGAGACTGTTTTCATTACTGTTCATAAAGTGCTCTCAGATCCCAAGATAACACAGTTTAGACAACTGCAAAATGTTGCGTCACTGTATTGGAAAAGCCTTTTTTACTGACACCTCAGGAATAGACAGAGGACTGCTTTATATGTGTGCAAACTATCACAGTTATTTTGTGGTAGAATATTGTGAATGCGGGAAGAGTGTGAATCCTTAGCTCATATAAAGCTAATCTGAATTCAAGGGATCTGCTTTTTAGCCTACACACTCAATATTTTCTCTACTGAATCTGGAACAGACCAGATATTATGATACATGTGATGTATACATTAAAGGAGATTTCAGTGTCACAGTAAGGCAAAAGGTAATGATGCTAATAGATGCTACTACTTGGAAATATAGAGTGGAGTGTAGGATAATATTATCCTAGAGTAGACCCTCGTACAGAAAGTCTGAAGAGAAACCAGACAAGCTTAAGAAATCAGAGGGATAAACAATAAAATAGGAAAATAATGCTCCATGCAGCAGTCTCTCCTAAAGCTGGTACAAACTTGTTTTCTTGTCTTAGAGTAGGCAGCACTCTGTCTGCAGACAAAGCCATCCAGTTCCTAATGCGAACATACCATTTAACTGCCATGAAAGTCTTAAGTGGAACTTGGAAAAAGAAATGGGAGCAGAAAGTGCTTCCTTTTCACAAATTACTTTGTAATCTAAAATTATTTGTCATTCCAGGTAGGATCGGAACTCAAAATATCTCTAAATTCTCCTAAAGTATCTTTAAATTCTCCTCAAATAAAATAACAGCCCTTTCTCCTATGTAAGGAGACAGTCTGAACTATGGCTCTTTCTGGAAAGACATAGGCTTAAAGGCTATTCAAAGCTCAGATATTTGAGCTGCCCATCAGCCCATACAATAAGCAGCTGGAGAGGTTTCAATTGAAAACCAGCCTTGTAAATAAGGTTGTTAAAACAAACCCATCTTGGCAAAACTGTTTCAATTTCAATAGATTAAAAAGTTTCAGTAGAACTTTTCTAGCCAGATCTTAACATCTTTAAAATCTCATTAGCTGCTCAGAGTTCGGCCAAGGCTAATCACCACAGCCAGCAAATTCCTAAAGGCGCTGAAATGCTGTCTAAACACAAAGAGCCATTGCTTTCCCAAGCAGGAGTTGTCTGTCTTGCCCTATCTCCTCCTCTCTTACTACAGCCTGCAGTTCCTCTCAGGAGAGTAGATTTCCCATTTTCTGTCTACCATGAAGATTATGAAGATTTTAATAGCAGCAGCAGCCTCTACCTTAGGTCAGAAGAGGGAATAGCATGAGTGAGAGAGCGTCTAGAGCTTCCAGACTCCTCCTGACACTTCATGTATTGGAGAGACACTGTAAGACTGCCAACATTCCAAAGAAATAGCGAGGAAATGTCGAACTTTGAATTTATTAACCTTAGTAATTCCCCTTTCAAGATCTCCCCAGTACTACACAGTAGAAGCAAAGCAAACTAGAGGGTCCTGAAGCCCGAAGTCATTTCCTCTCCACTTCTAACCTCTGGAAGGATTAGCGCTATCAATGTTCACTGGAGTCTTAGTATGTCATTCCTGTTTGTTCACCCAAGGTGACCCCCCTGTTTGCACATTCCATGGGTTGCTCCCAGGCTGAGCTATCAGGAGATGTTAGCTCAGAAAGCGACATGGGCTGTAGAAGGCTGTTGAGAGGGAACAAGCTGACATCTACCCTCAAGCAGCTGTTGCTATTCAAGTTTCTGCAGACCAGGGACTTTCTCATTAACAGAGGCCATACTCCCTTGAAAGATCTGCTGGTCCTGGCCATCCCATCCCACCTGAAAAAGTGGTCAATTACTCATGAGGAAAATCAAGTGAAAAAACTACCAATCTATCATCTACTAATAGTAAGAAATATCTTTCAGTCACAGGAGAATTGTTAATGACAGCAGTGAGAAAGGTGAAGAAGCAAATACACTGGATCATAAACCAATGGATTTTCTGGAAAAGGGGACAGATTTCTCATACTGTCTGTGATGGTGGTAGAATGATGATGGAAACACTCCTTGTAGAATTACGTGGGTCAAGAACTGAAGGTTTCTCCGTAAGTGACTTCTCCAAAGAAGGTTAAGGAAGCATGTTGCTGAGAAACTCGGAGGAAGCTGTTACTGTTCTGTACCTGCCCTTTCTACACCTTAGAGGGATCCTATCCTCAGGACCATCTTATCTTTCCTGATGAACCCACATTAGTGATTCACAAGATTAAAACTGGGCCTCCTGAAAAACAGTTGATGGATGTTTCTCATTAGCAGAAGCCTGAATAAGTCAACACTTTTTTTGTGTAAAAGTCTGATTGGGTGGAATTATCTATCTGGATACCTGAAAGGAAACATCTCATGAAACACCTCAGTAACTCTTCTTTGGAGACACTGCACTGTTCTTTGGGAGAGGAAGTCCAAGCAGACAGCAGGATCCATGGGGGAGGAGAAAAAAAGTATCAAAAAGCCTGAACTACAGTTCCCATGAGGCTTAGTAGGAATTACAATTAATTTTAAACTGAAACATTTCAGCTTTCTGATTAATTTTAAACTGATTCTGATTAATTTTAATTCTGATTAATTTTAAACTGAAACATTTCAACTGTGAAAAAGTCAACACTTTTTGTTTTAACATTATCAGTTTTTTCACTGATGTTACATAAATCCAGGATAAGTCTATGGAATTTCCTGCACTACGAAGTAGAACCCACCACTAACTACTGATTAATTTCACTTAAGCACAAAAGCACCATTTACCTGTACACTTGTGAAGAGAATCTCCATACCCCGGGAACCAAGGAAAGTCTCTCTGCCCAGCTGGATGTTGGTGATGTGCTTTAGGCAGAGAAGGAGACCCCTACGAATATAAATGTAGTTGTTGGAGACATCATTGTGATGCCAGTCTTGATAGAGTCTCAGCAATCCACCCAGGTAGCCTCTGTTCACTGCCCGTCGGCTGTTAGACTCTGAAAATGAAAAGGCTGAATTAAACTTTTTCCACTACTCATGCTGTTTGATAACAACATGGCTACTCAGTGCTCAGACTTGGACTTTAATACCTGCTGGTTCTTCTTAATAGTCTTGGTCAAAAAAAAAAAATGTTTTTTACAATTTAGGATATTTGCTAAACATATCCTTGGAATTGTACATGAAGAAAATAAATCAGTCTCTCTCCATCTAAGTGGAAATGGCTGCTCCCGAACCCTCCAGATGAACCAATCCGTGGGGAAAAGGCAGAGCCCATATCTCCTTCCAGGTGCTAATAAACTTAATTCCAATTGCAGCACCATGAGAGCTCCTGAAACTAAAGCTTCTGAGGAGCGAGGAAAGCTAAAGAACAGTAAGATTAGTCAACAGCAGGTCAACAAATCCAGAAGCCTTGTAGCTGTACAATCCTGTCACAGTCAGCAAAATTATGTTTAACTTCTAAATGTATTCCCACACATACCTCTACAATGAAAGCCATGAGTCAAACGATTCTGGAATCCCATAATATATAAGAATTAACAGAACACCAATATGAGCAACAGCAGTTTGGACTTCTTTTCTGGTTCTTTCTGACTCTGAGACTTTAAAGCTCATATTCAGGTAATGTTTAAAGGCTTTACTGCATGGGCAAGAAAAAAAAAATTTAAATAAGCTTTATGAAAATGTAAAAGGAAAGCTGCAATATTCCCTTAATCTTGTAGCTCCTGGATGTCAGACTGAAAGATTATAAAACTTGTGATAAAATACAAATTCTGCTGAGTGTTCTAAAACACATCCCTTCACCCACTGCTTTTCTTGCCTTGCCCCACAGGACAAACATGAAGACATAGAAGACTGTAGGCTCCCTTCCTTCAAACCAACCCTGCCTAAACGTGTTTTCCTGACTTGTTCTGACATTCCTTGCTGTGACACACATTAGAAGCTGTCAGGAGCTCAATAATTGACTGAGGGGCCAGGTAGCATACGTAAGACTGGAGCTCAGCTCCCTGAATACCAATCAGCATTTGCAGCTCACAACAGATGGCTCTTGGTATGGGTTCTCCAGAGCTAGTAGGCTCCAATTCATTTCCAGTTCATTAAACAAAATGCCAGAACCTCTCGCACTTGGAACGTTAGAGCCATCAGTGGGGAACTACAGGACAGGAGAAGAAGCTAGAGGTTAAGAGTGAGAACAGAAAGATGCTGCATGAAGAAAATCAGTAATAAGGGAAGCCATGGAGAAAGCAGGAAACAGCTAGTAGGCAGCAAACCTCAGACCCAGTGGTGAATTAGATGGAGGCACTGGAAAGGGGAAGACACCTGAAGTTGTCTGTCTGCTCTCTGTATGCAGTACATTAGCAAAATCTTACCAGAAGAAGGAATTGAAGGATAGTCCTGCTACCCGGTCCTGTCCTGCAATTCTCTCTACCATGGGCACCACAGGGCAGGCAACAAACAGCACCCCCAGACCAGTTTGACAACTCATTTTAATCCTGCTCTGAATCTTCACACCGCCCTGTTAGCATGCCTCTGCACCGACCTGCTGGTCCCATAGCTGTTCCAGCCCTACACAGCTCTACCCAGTCTCCTACACCTTGGCCTGCAGTTCTCTCTAGCACTTTATCCCCTGGTTGTTAACCATCGCACTAACTCTGCCAGTACATCTTGTATTTTGGGGATCAGTGGTTGTCAGCATGTAGAAGGTCATCCTTCTCAATTTGACCTTCACTTTGTTTCTTTTTTTCTATTTGACTTTCTGGAAGAAAACTTTAATTGCTTGAGAATCCCTTATCAATCCCAATGATTTTATTCATGATTTCCTGTTAATCCTCAACCAGCTGTCATGTTTACTAACCTGCAGGATGACTAACCCCTTAAATCAGTCAATCTTCCTTGAAGAATTACTCAGGAAGCTCTGTAAAAGTCAATAAGTATATAAAACATGACAAGAAGAAGAGAGTCAGGGAGTGTAAGGTAGGGAAGATTTGGATCAGACTCAGAGCTTCTCTGAACTATTCAGAGGCAGATGAAATTGGAGTAGATCTAGGGATTTACAGCTCCTAGTATTTAGTGCTTGAAGTCTAAGCTTTCTGTGTCAATGTCAATAGGACAAGGGAAATACTGGAAAGCACTGTGGGTAGAGCTTCTTGGGAAATTTACTTTAAAAAAAATAATAATAAAAGAAAAAAAATTGTCATAAAATGTGTTTCTGGTGTTTTCTTCACATCTTACGAGACAGATTTCCACGTTTGGACTCCAGCTCCATAGGGACCAGAACACAAAACTGTCCCATGCCTCAGTTTTGTCACTGGATGTAAAGCACAGAGGGAGCTGAGCAAAATAACTTCACTATGTTTCCCCTCGTGTTTTCTATAGTACTTATCACCTTTAAGATCAAAAGCATTGCTTTGAAAACTGAACCTGAGATAGTCTGTTCTGAAGAGGGGATGGAAGAGGCAGGACTATAGTTTCCTCAGCACTTTGATCAGAAACAATGAGAATTACTTGCTGGAGGGGCAAAAAAAATATTCATTTTCTTTCTCCTGCCTGATTTCATTGATTCTCCTATGCTTTCCTGTGCTGTTAATGTTTTTCTTATTTTTTTCTTCCGTCTTTTCAGTAGTAGCGAATAAATGAAGGAGGAAGTATGCCAAGATCTCCAGAAGGCAGAATGGAAAAAGGAGGCATCCCTACCTGTCTGTGTCTGTTGGTTACTCCATCTAGGGATGCACCTGCATGGGTATCTATCTATATTTTGGCACAAATACAGACGGTAGAAATGAATCATACAGATACAAGCAGCACTGCACAGATTTGTGGGCAGCAAGAACCCACCTCTCCTGGTGTGAGTACGCATTGATCTGTGTGGTAAGTGGCAAAATGTCCTATGTCTTTTGACCCTTTTGCTCCAATTCTTTTGTTAGTCCCTTTCCTTCTCCCTGGATATGGCCAGTGTTCAGTGGAAATGGAAGTTCTCCCACAGAGCTTTCAAAAGAGCCCAGGGATGGTGATTCCTATTTTGATTCATGCTTGGTTTGTGTGATGGGTTTACTCCTCCTGTTTGAACTTTGGTCTGGGCAGATGCTCAGCAAAGCCTAACTGAAGTTAAGCCTCCCACAGTAGGATATCAGTGAGAACTTGGCAGGAAACCCTCAAAAAATGGTTTTGTTGAAGACTGGGCTGATAAGCAGCCAAAACTACTTTAACAGCAGAAAATCTGACTACAAATCAACCACTTCATGCTATAAATACCTGCATCCATCAGAACCCATTGACCTCTCCCCCCATAGCAGCTGGTTGCATGGCAGTAATCTCCCCTTGAGTAGGGATGCCTTCGAGGCTGAGAGATCCCTTACTTGACACCAGCCATTGATCGGTTGGTGACATTTTTTGCATACATGTAGAATTTAAGGTACATACAGTAAGCTTACATGACAATCTTTGTATCCCATACTAACATTAAGTGTTGTAAATAGTATTGACCGCCAGTTCATCTGTATTTATTCAATAATTTACATACCTACATTTACTGATTAAAACGCAATAAACTAACTACTAGACCAGATCCTAGTGATCTCTGACTTCTCCTGCAACAGTCTGCCTTCTTAATCTTATTCTGGCATCTCTAACAGGGGAACACTGTCTTCACCACCTTCTCCAAACCTGTTACTAGCATAGTATTTTCTTTGCAAGAGTTTCAATTCTGCCTTCTGAGGCTGGGAGGGGTGATAGGGGAATACTCAGTGTCTTAGTTTCCTACACTTCTAGAACTGACCCTCCACTTCTGACTTCCAGGGCAGTGCTACTAACTAGTGAAAGTTTAAGCACTTCAGCACAGAATACCTGGCCTGAATAATCTGTGCAGTTAGCCAAAATCATTTAACATGGATGCACAGCCAATGTATCAAATGATTAAAGATGCATCTCAATTACCAAGGGCATTACACAGCAAAGAAATCTCCAGTTTTGACGGAATCTGAATTTGTGCTACCAGACAAGGAGAGACTCTAAAACCAGGGTTTCAGTCTAGTAGATAAGTCTCATGACTGCCAATGTTTCTGTGGACATTTCTGAAGCACTCCTTGTATTCCAGTCCCCTTTGAAGTGTTTGCCAGGAACACAGGGACCACTGGAAAACACGCAGCATATTTAATCACAAAACTGAATTACGGTCAGCCTGAAATATGATGAGCATTGCACTGTTTACGAGGCAGAACAAAGAGATGTTTATCTTTCTATCTATCTGCTTAAATGTCTTTGTTGATGCCACTTATCTGATTCATTATGCCAAGAACATACGTTGCTACAGTTTGGAGATAAGAATGCTCTGCTAAATTAACCCTATGGCCCCTAAAGCAGTGAAAGGCATGAGAAAATCTTCAACTTCCCCACTCTGCTCCAGTGATGGCTTCTTGGGAACAAAGGATGCAAGATATCTCCTAAAGCAAAGAGAAAACAACTATTTTATTCAGTCACTGACAGGCCATTTTTCCTAGACATAAGCATGAGGGTTCCCTAATAGAAACAAAATTAATTGTCCTCATGGAGAGACCTAGTCACCCATCAGTGCTAAACTCAGTCAGCTCTACGGTTCCAGCAAGAAGCTGGCATTAACTCAACTCTTGGAAGATAGAAGGCTGCTCTAATTGGGAGTAGCACAAAGGAACAGAACACAGGCAAGGTTTGCTAGCAACTATAAGTACCATGCTTTGCTCCTAGACCAGGAATCAGCCAC